TATATATATATATACTATATATATATACATATATATATATTATATATATATATATATATAGCTAAATCAGGATCTTGAACTCAAATTTGACTAGTCGATTAATCGATCGTCTACTAGAACGAGTTACCATGTTTTTAATCCCTGATCCGGATACTCGTGTGCTATTACCAAATGTTACTTTACGCAAATTTCAGATCCAGGATTCACGAGCACTGAGATATATCGAAACAAGAGGAAATAAATACTGAATCTTTATACAAGTCTACACAAAATATTTGAAATGAAACGCCAGTGGCGTGTTACTAGCCCCTACTTCATTCGGACCTACCACAACAGGAGTTAATGAGCCACAACCCGACATGTACGAATCTGGCTATACAATTACTAAAACCGTAGAAAACAAGCGTTTAAAGATTGAAGGCGTGAGCCAAATTGACTACCATGTCATACGTACCTTTTTATGTTTTTGTGTGACAACCCAGGAGTAGAAAAATCCAAGAAACGCCACAGATATATTGGAAGAAGAGAATCAGTAAATCGGCTTCTGTTTATATGGCGCATTTTGAATGTATTTATTTAAATACACACGACACTCGAGAAGTCGTGACTCACTGATGTATATAATCAGTGTCGGACTGTCAGTCTGCCAGAGGCTCGCAACCTATACAACGATTCATTGTAGCGAATGCACATGTAACACTTTAAAGATGAACATATAGCTCGTAAAAGTTGCAACCGGAAACTGTGTTTATGTGAAATCACGCCAGTGCGAAATAACACACAGTGGCCTTTTCGAATATCTCTTTCTCCCTCGCACGTCACGCATTGCGGCTTACACATTGCGGCTTACGCATCGCGGCTTACGCATCGCGACTTTGCCTTATTTTCCGTATAAAGATACTTACACACAGTAGAACGGTCTTCTCATATACCCCAACGCAGACACCATGCGCTTCTCGAAGTACAGAACCTTAGTTCTATTCCTGGCCATCCTAGCAATTTACAAGTTATGGGGTAGAGGAGATAGCACTGACCTAGAAGACGTGCGTGTTGAAGACGACGGTCACGTAGATATAGGCCGTAAAAACGGGCAAGATGAGAGTGTGTATCAGAAAAGGAGTGGTGAAAATAGGGTAGTACGTAGTGATAAGAGCAGATGGGTCGATACAGATCCCTTGCAGCCATTTGCTGGCACAGACGTGGTCGTGTACCATCCCAGTGCAACAGACGAGGTGTTCTTACAGGGCTTTAATATCGCACTGAAACAAACCGGACTGACCTACAGTTGGGCTCCGAAGGACCGATCTTTTAGCGAACAACTGTTCAGCTTGGATAGAAGCATGGACTCGCTGCTAAAAGTAAGTTTCTTCGCATGTTTGGTTTATATATATA